GTGGTGAATAACTGAGTGACCACCCCCCCCCCTAGTCATCGAAAAATTCCAGAATCCCTCAGTAAAAACGAGATTAATTAAATTAATTCATGGAGGCCCCGGCTGAAAATGCCATCGCCAACTATTTGCGGTTTACCGTCATCGCCTGAGACTTCGATAGGTGAACGAAGGAGCAAGAATGACGACTGAATTGCGCTCATTGATGCTGGCTTCGATGCACAATGAAAATGCAATTGCAGGACTACGCAAAAAATGACTATGTTCCTCTCCAGCCACCTAAGCCCTCGGTAGTTGTGGAGACTAGGAAACGGACGTTGACTCTGTTAGAGAAACTGGTTGAGTAGAAACCATTTATTCAAACCCGTGAATTTCTGGCTGAGGGTCAGGACACGGTAAAAGTCGACCAGCAGGACAGCACCTGACACTGACGAACAAGGTAGAGGCAGATCTGCTTTCGGAGAAGAACAATTCTTTCAATGATACAGTAACCGGTGTTTAATAGCAAAACTGTTGAACAGCTGCGGGCGCTGTAAGCATAAAAATTATTCAATATGATTATCTCAACGAACGCAAAACGCGGCCTATTGATCATAACCAGCTGACATTTCCCATACCGTAAAATTCGATAATACTGACATATTCATAAAGAATGCATACAATATTATCTTGTCATTTATTCAGATAATGAACAAACAGTATGAGGCGCATATAAGTGTTACTTTCGCCGACCTTCCGAAATTCTCATATCAGGGATGTCAACGTTCCCTTATTATATGTTTTCTATATATATTTTATTTTTGCCCGTTTCACAGACTCATATCCCCAAGCCACCTCGAACTTTTTCTTTCACTGCTTTCCTTAGGCAGTCACTTCCTTCTCGAGACGTGAGAAAATGGTCCTGCTTCTATTGATCACGTGTTTAACGGTGAACCTTTAATGCAAACTTGTTTGAGTTTGAAACCACGCAAAATGAAATCGCGTGACTGTTGAGTGACTGGGGAAAATTCTGTAAACCGTGAAAGTACCAAATGAGGTTCCTGCTACAAAGATTGCATCAATCATTTCACACATGTTCGTTTCTCGCGTAAGGTCAGTGACTCTCTGCCTCACAGTCAGCTGACACTTCTTTTGAGCACAAAAGCTATATGTCATTCAAAAGTCATTAGGCAAAGTCTGTTAACTGTACGCTGAGAATAAAAGTAAGATATTCTCTTCTGCTGACGTCAGCTATAAGATATTCTTTGTTTCAGTTCCACCAAGAGTTGATACTCAGTTGTCGACGCACGACCTCATCGTACAAGAAGGTCAGGACGTGACGTTCAGCTGCGTTGCGAACGGTTCGCCGACACCGACGGTGTCCTGGCGGCGAAAGGACGGCGAAGTAATAGTGACCAACGAGCCGGAAGGATACGGAGGCACGTCGAGTTCCTCGCCTGTCCCCCTCGTCGATCACTTCATTTCATATCCGTTTCAGAGAGCATCATCTACAAACAAAACCTGACGCTGTACAAGGTCAATCGAAAGCATATGAGCGAGTACCTTTGCTTGGCGAGTAACAACGTGCCTCCCGATGAGTCATGGAGTCTCAAGCTACACGTGCACTGTACACTGTTGACAGATGCGAAAAAGCAGCTGTGCTAATCCTTGCGTGTTTCAGTCGCCCCGAGCGTCGTACCGTTGGAGACGACGGTTTCTTCAAAGACAGACTCGACCGCTCATCTGGCCTGTATGGCTGAAGCATGGCCGAAACCGGATTTTACGTGGGAATTTCAAGAAAACGTTATCCTGCCCAACGATGAAAAATACAAAATGGTATTGTTACTTTTTAAATATGTTAATGCTTAATGATACTTGCGTTTGTCATAAAAGGAGTACAAATTCCGTGGTAAACGTATTGCTTTATCTTTGGGTTCACACCAGAGTACCTGTTATGTTTCCTTCAGGAGATTGATGAGAATGATTTTCCTTGATTTTTTTCCTTCCAGATTTCCTTGAGATTGTTCTTTATTAGCAGGATTCTGATTCCCAAGTTTGAAGGAAAGAAAAGTTTGCGACTGTTGGAATATTAGTCTTTCTTTCACTTCCATGATGGAGTCTTTTTTGGCACCCTTTTTTCATGTAGTAAATGGCCACATGTTTATATCAATTTCCATCCTGTAATCAGTCAGGATAATTATAGACAGGATATTCTTCCTGTATTAATGAAAAAGCAGACAGTATGTATGTAGCAAATATAGTGTGTGGTCTCTTGTTTCCTTCGCATAAAGTTGTACTCGTTTATCAATCTCACAAGAATGAAAGGCGAGTAACCTCTCTATCTTGAGTCCAACGCTCTACCGACTGAGTAGCCTCTTTCTGATCAAACACGTGGTATACTCCATACTCAAGGGAATTCATAAGTAAGACAAAGACTGCTCTTCTACCAGAATCGAATCCGTCTCCTTAGGCACTCTGTAACATGCCTATCTCAAAGATGGTACTTTCAATGACGGCGTCAATCCATCCACCTATCCTCCGTCCATTAACTTACCCGTCCACAAATCAGTCAATCATCTTTCATTCGTCATTCCGCCCGTTCATCCGTCAATCTCTCACAGCCTTAAGCTTGTCTAGTCGCTATTACTGCAATCGTCTGTCAGCCCAGGCCATCTCATTGCTGCACTCATCTGACCTGGAGTCTACATTAAAATAATCTTTCTGATGAAATTGCTATTTTATTCTCAGTCTAAACGAGGGAACAATTTAGATCAGTTACGGCTGACGACCACTTTACCCCGTGCTTCGATTGACTATTAAAATTGTTGCCCAACGTCTCAAAACTCATGTCTTTCGTCAGCAAGGATCAGCTGCTCTGACTCTTATAATCTGTACCATTCTCAATCATGCTTGCTGCCACTAGAAGGATTTTATGTGAGGAAAGATTTTGGAAAAGAGACCAGTTCTTTCTTCAGAAAATTTCTTCCGTACATTTAACAAAAATGATTATGAAAGACTGGGCTGTCGATCATTCAGCACTTACAGGCGACGATCTACCGTTCGTGATTCTGAATAACGTGAATCAAAAAACTTTCGGTTCTTCTGACTTCTCTCTCCAAAGGAAATCATTTCCGCTTAATCCCGATTATCCCTTTGAAATAGTCTGATTTTATTATTAAAACTGAGAATGACGAATAAACCAAGATCTGCTTCGAGTCAAATCGAACTGTTTCTTTCTACGTTGTGATTGTAGTAACTTTTCGGGACTTCAAATCAAACCTTAGATCACATATGCTATACGTGCCTATGCCATACTCTTTTACGTGCAGAATTAAATTGTCCCTGGATCATGGGTATGGTACCTCGCCCCACAACCTCATCGAACTGACTCCCTAGAGTGAACAGCAGTCGAAGAGCAGGATGCTGATATGTTCATTAAGTTAAGTCGATTAAGTCGTTTTCATATCGCCTGCTCTTTATTAGACAGTATCGAAACTTGGCTGAAAAGTTAATCAATACTACGTTGTTTCATATGAGAAAGGAGTTTCATTCGCTCGCCAGGAAGTGTCTCCCTATATCTCAATCCATATCAGTGTCACCTGCCGTTTTATCTTCAGGTAGTTAGAGGTCTGATGCTTTGTCACACGTTCTGTCTTCCAGTTTTGCCTGTTTTTCATGGCATTACTGGCATTTATTTATGTTCAGTGAATGATGCCACCTGTTGAGTGCAAATTTGTCTTCCTTTTCTTCAATGGTGCTTGCACCTCAAGAGAGTAGAAAAGCGCGAGAAAGATGCTCATAACGTAAGTTGTGTTCAAACTTATAAAAATACCGGTTTAGACTAATTCAGACCAGTTTATCATCCCCTTACCAACACGTATTTAAGTACTTTCAAAAGATAGAGCGGTCTTACAAAGTACAGAAAATGGTATCAAGCAATCGCAGTAGACTTCCCTGTTTAGTGAAATGCCGTTGTGAAAGATTGTCTTCATTTCCATTTTCATCTTCATCTCCATCTTAATCTTTCATGACCGCTTTTCTTTTCGTACCGCGGAAGCAGACGCGTCAGAGAGTGCTTCCAACGTTCGCGATCTTGTACCAGAGTCTGAGTTTCGGCAAAAGACAAATGCAGTCTGGAACAGATTCCTTCCATATGTTTGCACCAGGT